AAGAACTGGAGAATAGGGACAGGTGCTATGAAGTGTGGTCATCTGGACATGGCATGGCATGAAATCACAGTGGCCATGTTTATCTTTGGAAGACCTGCACAGGATTGAGGCAGTTAAAAACTCAAGCATGTTTTCAAGGTTGACCATTTAGTGTTGGACTACCAATTGGTGTGTTCTGTTCTGGTGAAGACTGTTTCTTCCCTTCTCAGCATTCCTTAGTTGCCTGTAGTTCTTTGTGTAGGACTGAGGCCTCTTGAGTTTTCTCCTATTCATGTTAGCATGTCTATTGTTTTCCTTGATCAGGTTATATTTATATATTTAGTATACATACATCAACATATATGTGATGCATACATGTATGTAACAACAATTAATGAAAAAAGAGGCCATGGATAAGAAAGCAAGGGTATGTATATGGGATGGTTTGGAGGGAATAAAGAGAAGGGACCAAATGATGTAATTATAATCTCAAGAGAATGTTTTCCTAGTGTGGAAGGAGAGGGACTCTGGAGACTTGTCTGAGGAGCTACTGCTGGTTGATGGGTGCTGAAGGAAGGGAGGTTACTTTCCTTTGGGCTTAGGTATTTAGAGAAGATTCTTGGGCAAGGTTTTGTAGACTGTGTTCCACTCTCAGATTCACCGGGTTGTTGTTCTTGAGGTTATTACTTAATGTTTTGCTATTAGAATAATCTGGAAATGCTTTAAAGAAGGTATCTGGGAAGATTTGCAACTTTACTCACAGAATATCAAAAATCATTCAGATTTGTCAAGCCAAGGAGACTGATATAATAATTAGAGGTCAAAGATGGAAGAGACATAGGGGTAATTCATCTCTGTTTTCAGTCCCCAGGTTATCCCTTTTTTTCTTTCCTCCCTCCCTCCCTCATTTATCCAGTCCTTTCTTCCTTCTCTTTTCTTTCCTTTCTTCCTTGCTGCCTCTTCTTTCTTCCCCATCTCCTTCTTTATTGTTTGTCTGTTTGGTTTTGGGTAAATACTCCCCTGTCATGTGGTCACTTTGGAGTTTTGTTTATATGACTTGTGAAGAAGAATCTACTAAAGGGTCCAAATGTTATCAAAGGGATTCAGCTCTGGAATTGGAAAATGAACTATGTCCACCAAGTCAACAATTAATTTAGTATGGACTACATTTGGAAAGTGCAGTGCCATTTTGATCAATCTTCTCAGTAGCCCTGTTCTCTGTATTTTCTAAGGCATCCTGTACAAGGAGAAACAGTCAGTGGTTGCGAGGTGGTGGAAAGCATAAGAATCGCTGCAACTGAACTTTTCTAGTGAACCTGCTCCAGGGTTCTGCCCTTCATACCATTTCGTCAACTTGACTTTTCTTGATTCCTTGCAAATTTGGCTTCTGTCATTCCTTTATCCACTTTTTCACTGAGACCCAGTCATACATGAGAAGTTAGAAAGTCCAAATAAGAAACAAAAATAACATAACACTTAATGAAAATAGGTGGTTTTGTATCCTGTCTTGGATTATTTACAATGCGGTTTCACTTGAGTTTTCAATTTGAAACCAATAGCCAAAGCACGATGATTCACAGGGATAGAGAAATAACTGCATTAAACTTAACTCACCACAAACTTCCTGCATGCAAAGACATTATACTCAATTCCTATCTCTCTCCATTCATGGTTAAACAAAGCTTTAGAGTAAATCAAAATGCGTAAGTACTGTGGTTTAGATGAGGAAAGCAATTCAGCCTGGTCACTCTCCTTACTCAGCTCAGCTGTGTAAATGTGGAGAGTCTTTCGTACTCTGTGCCTTGGAATTGTCAATGACTGTGAAGTTGCTTAGGAAAAGGAAAAAGCACGGTTGGACTTGCTGGTAGGTTGCACATATGTAGGTTGAAGTTCAGGAACCAAATATTTGGTATTACTGAAGCATCTAGTCTCTCTCAGAAGTCCCCAAAGTAATCATTGGGTATTTCTGATACAAATACTAACTAATGAGTGACTCCAAAATGTTTGCTCAAGAATTTCAAGAGGAAGCTGCAGAAATCATTAGGTGTGCTTTCAAGACTGTGGGTCTCACCATGTAGAAGTTACCTTAGGAAAATTTAAACTGTGACTGCAGAGATTTTTTTTCCAAGAGGTTCTGACATCACTGACATTGACTACAGCCTTAAAGTTAAATAAGTTTTCAAAGTGTCTGTGGTGATTTGAATATGAAGCAAAGATGGGGAACTACTGACCTATGAAATAAGGCGGTGAGCTGGAAAGAGTGTTAAGCCTTGTTTGAGCCATGAACCAGGACTGCTATCAGCTTTTAAGAAGGTACCTACTGAGAATGTATAATTTCTATTCTCAACCTCACACTTACAGAATAAAACTATGCTCTTGAAGAAGATTTCCTGGGTGGCTCCTATGCACTTTAAATTTTGAGAAGCATTAAGGCATCTAGCCCTGCAGGAATACTTGAATAGTTGGATTAAAGCTGTAGTTGAAAGGCATTCTTAGCCCTAACCCCTCTACTTAACCAAGCCATTTTCTATCTTGATTTTTACCAGTATGCCTCCCCAAGATAGAGATATTTCTTTATTGCTGTGCATTAAGTAGGATTTCAAAGCCAGAGTACTTCAACATTCTGAAAATTTTCTAGGCAGGAAGGAAGGTTATTTCACTACAGTTTTCATAAACAATGGTTTTCCACTCCAACTTCATATTTAGCTCTACTTATGGGACTTTTAAAAAATGTACTGGTCCCACATCAGACCAATTAAATTAGAATTTGGGGTGATGGAGGCCCAATACTGGTATTTTCTAAAACCTTCCAGTGAATTTTAGTGGGCAACTCGTTTTAAGAACTACTATGGATGAACTGATATATCATTGTCTTGTTTAATATATTATAGAGCAGTTAGTCATTTTGGCTTCCCGGAAGACTGATATCAGTTACTTCAATTAATAAAATATTAACCTGCATTATAAGATAAATTAAATATTTAGAGTATTCAGGTTGATATTAACCTCAATTCACCCCTATTTATAGATGATGGTTGATTGTCTACATAAGGAAACAAATTAACGGCAAACACATCAAATAGCAATACTCACATAATATTATTTTATTTTATAAAATGCAACTCTTTTCATTGGGATTTGGATTTGCCATATCTTTAGACACCACAAAGCAAAAATATCTTAGCTTTGTCTCTTTAAAGTGCATCTTAGATGAATGGCAGAGGCCACCATAGGGTGTTCCTTAGCCAAAAGGAACCAGCTGCTATGAAACATGCACAGTGTAGATAGAGTCCTATACAATTTCCTGGCTAAGGGTCCGACATTCCATCTCAAGTGAAATGATAAACAAAGGTCACAATTCCGCCCTCAAACAAAAGTTGAAAATGGCTAGGGAATCAAATGACTAAGTGAAGTACTTGGACATATAACTTAACTGAAGAAAAAGTCATGTGCCTTGCACAAGATAAGCAAGCCTAGCTCTAAATGATGCCAAATAAAATTTTATTTGCAAAATGTATAAAATGGAAGGTATAATGGTAAAAGTTTGATTCAAAATCATTTTATTCAATTTGAAAAGAAAAACCTTAAAGAATTTGGCTCTTCTTAAGTAAGACCCTTTTTGGCTTCTTGAGTTTCCTGTACCCCGAGAAATAGTTTTTCTTTAAATGCCAGTTGGAAAATGTGAGCAAGACATTACTATCATTCCATTTGGGGTATTCAACTTCTAAGAAAAATACACATGTACAAAATCAAAACCCTTCAAATTCCTGTGTTCTACAGATAGCAAAGCTCCATTCAGAGTGCTGGGAGACATCCTTAACCCTGACCTGCTAGCATCATCATGGGAGTTTGAATATTAGTGACTTCATGCTTAATTTATGTAATTCATAATATCAACATGAAATCTGACAGACATCAGGCTACATTTGATTTTTTAAAAAAAACTTGCTTCTTTTCCTTTAAGCTTAGAGTCTTTCTTAAGTTAAACACGAATCTTTTATGCTCTATCTGCATAAAAGAAAATCTGCAGTAATACATCATATCTAAATGGGAAGATACCATATATTTATGATTACGTGCTTAAGAAATGATGAAAAAATTAATTGGCAACTACCTTATCATGTGCACATTATTAAATTTTCTCATGAATCTGTTGCCATTTTATCATTTGCATATCTTACAAGTAAATCATGGGAATTAGCAATAGCCTCTGGCAGGCTTTGGGCCAAAGTAACCATCAGTGCGAAAGTGCAGCTCTTGGCTGCACTTGATGGGACACACCTTTAAGCATAGCACTCAGCAGGCAGAGGCAGGTGGGTCTCTATGAGTTCAAAGCCAGCCTGGACAACATAGTGAGTTCTGAGTTCTTGGTGAGCTAGTCGTGCTCAGTAGTGAGACCATGTTAAAAAAGAAAGGAAGGAAGGAAGGGGAGAGAGAGAGAGAGAGAGAGAGAGAGAGAGAGAGAGAGAGAGAGAGAGAGAGAGAAGAAAGAAGAAAGAAGAAAGAAGAAAGAAGAAAGAAGAAAG